GGAGAGGAGAGAACAAATGAGTCTTACAAAGATGTAAAATAATCGTGGTATTGTCGACCGCGCCAGGTGAGATTAGAGGTGTTACAAGAGAGTAACAAACACAAAAAAGAAGTAGGAAGGATAAAAACGATAGATGTTAGAAAGGAAAGAAGAAGCAAACCACACCAGAGCACCCGCCACCAATCCACATAACAGTAAATAGGGGATACAACAAAAACACAAAAGGAGAACAGTCTGCTGGCTGCAACAGGAAGACTCAAGCAGTTTTGTTTTTGTTTTAGTAGAGGTTTTACTTTACAGTGCTCGCAACTGCAGAAGGTCAAATGAGCGCCAAAAACTCAAGCATTGTTCTACTATAAAAAAAAAAGGAAAGCCTAAAAAAAATTATACAATGTAAAGGAACAGGGTCAAATTCAACTTACTTCTAAACAGAAATAAAACAGACCTGCCATTAGAAGGGCTTTCATCTCTTCCAACACAGGATCACAAACAAGGGACCCCACCAGAGTCAAAAAGCAAACAAAACTTTAACACTATATTATAAACAATAATTGTTTATTTGATATTACTTTTTAGTAAAAGATGTTAATTTACAAACATCAGCAATCAGAGACCATAGTCCTGTCTCGTACTGTGAAGGGCATAACATGGTGGTCACTAACACCCCCCCCCCCTATTTTTTTAAAAATAATCAAAAATCATGACAATAAGACAGGAACGGACAGTGAAGTAAAAAAAAAAAAAAGCTGTTGAAAAGTAACAGAAAGAACAAATATAAAAGTCACCTGTTGCCATTTCCTGTGACGGACAGAAGACAAAGGCTGACAGATGACGAATTTAATTTCTCTTGGAAAAGGCAAGAAGTATTTCCTTTCCACATGAGTAGACAAAAACCCTCATCACCACAGCAGTTAGTAGACTGTAGTTGGGGTGTTGTTACAAACTTAACAAGAGACTCAAATATGTGGCTACTAAAAAAAAAAAAAGTATACATACCCCTTGTGAAGTAATTAGAATAACCGCCTTTCTAGATTTTCACTCAAGGTGGCAACTTCTAGTCTCTCTCAGGAAGAAATAAACAACAACTCCCAACTAAGTAAAAGAAAAACAACAACAATGACAAACAAAACACTTACCATAACATAGTGTCTCTGCATTTCTGTTTTTTCCTGAGCCAATTTTTCAACATCCATCTTCAATCTGAAATCAAACCCAAAAAGCTTTAATTCCGAAAGCCAAACACAGAGTAAGTTCCAAACTCACTGCAGACAATTATTCACAGGACACATGAATTTAAAAATATCATACTTTTGTAACATTAAATATCTCTGAATACCTTCCTTAGACAATAATGAATAATTGGCCGCTTTTAAGGACAAGCGCGCTAACCCAGATTTCGAGGGTTTCAAGAAAGCTTGACCTACACCAGAAGTGGGCATTTCTCTGCCAATAGGAAAAGCTTGGTTTCATTGGTGTAAAAAGTTGTTTGATTATAGAGAAAACTCTCCTTGTCTTTTAAAGAAACTGAACAAGGGGAAAAAATTTACCTTCAATTTTTTCGAAACAGCATTTTTCGGGATAGCCCTCTTGTGCTTAAAAGCGACCAATTACCCTAAGTATAAAATAAAAACAATCCCACTGGTAAACTTGTTGACCCATCAACAAACATTGACAGCACTTAAGAACCAGACTGCTAAAACCTGCCCATTCCCCATTCCTAAGACACATTCCAGGAAAAATATGAAACATCTTAATTGAATATTTCCCATTGAGATCAAACTCGAGTTGAGTGCAAAGCCTAAAGAAGGGTACTGCCTCATGTAATAGTGTATGGTAGCACACAAGTCTACCTACTGCTACAGTTAATAGTATCTAATACACACACAACACACAGATATTGCCAACTTCAATGTAGGCTCAACTTCACCATTGTGACAGCCTCGTATGACGTACGAATTTCAACCAATCACCCCATTTCTCTTCCACATTGTTATTATTGTTGAAGCAAAATAATACATGATCATCTTTTCTTTGATGTCTTTAGGAGGCGGTGTCAATACTCGGAAAGCAAACAGCTTACTGTCACCACAGAAAGCTCTTTCATTCAGCTTCCCACAGACTATAATAATGTTCCCAGCGACTTAACCAACCATAAAATCATTACTGGTTCTCATTTCAAAGGTCAAATCAATTTATGCCAAAAGAGAAATGCTTGCCATCTAATAGTTATCTACTACTTTACATAAAGGAAAACACATTTTTAAAGCAGCATGCCAATAGTTTACTACTCCATAGCATGTGTGTGTTACTTCTGAACAGAATGTACACTCTTTACAAACATTGACTTCAACATGTTTGTGTGAGTTATTAGTTTAAGTAAGGGTTTTATGACATTTGCAAAACAAATAGGCGCCGAAGATTAGAGGTGCTACCAGAGAATACTATATACAAAATAAAAAATGAAAAGAAGGGGGAAAGATAAGGATGGTAGACAGATGATTGACAGGAAAGAAGGAGCAAATCACCCACCAACTGCCCCCACACGTTGCTGTGAGAAACATTATTATACTTACGAATGGTACTGTGCCTGAAGAAAGCTAAACTCTTCTTTGATCCGGTCACATGATTCTGACACTGTGAATTTAAATGGTTGACCCGGGGGAGGTCCCTATGAAACAGAACAGAAAAGTGTCAACGCCGCTGCCAAATTTTGTCAACATACAGAAAAGTTCTGAAAAGTACACAAAATAAAGATAGTAGTATTTTAACATAATAAGAGCATGCTCTATGCGCTTTACAACTATTATTACCCCAGTAGACCCTCTTCTGAGAACACTCAGAAACATTCTCGTCTTCCGCGGAAGCATACAGTGCAAGCTGCGGATTTCACGCGCTCAAACACTATCAAACTGACAAGATCGTTCACTGTCTATAGCCGGGTACCCATTTCCACCTGGGTGAAGTGAGGAAAATTTGTGCAAAGTGCCTTTCCCAAGGACACAACGTCGGGCCCCTGACGGGATTCGAACCCACGACCTAACCGTTGCGAGTCCGAGAGCCTAACCACTAGGCCACCGACGCCAATAGCATGAGTATCCCAAACACATAAAAGGAAGGTCCAAATGAAAAAGCTTCAAAAATGTAGTACAGAGACCAAAAAAAAACAGGGGCGGCTTGGAAAAATGGGTTACATTCATAGCTGGGTATCTTGGACATACATTTACTAAATGATAAACCCCCATGGAAAGCACACAGTAAATTACCTTGGCTAATCAAATCTTGAAAAGGTTATATATCAGGACTTCTGCAAAATTCTCCCTTACATAAAATAAAGTCACTGGTGACTGGATACAATAACAAAATCCGTCCCTAGTAAGCAAACAAATCACGTTTTATTTTTATCATTAGACTTGTAGTAAAGACAAACACCCTGCCACATGACATGGTTCTCTCAATAACTTTTAAAAAAAAGTACACTCACTCTCAAATTCAAGGACAAAAACAAGTAAACAATTTACCTCCATTTCATAAAGTATCAAGTTCATTTTAACTGGAAAAAAAAAAGCTAGGAACAGTCGTGTTTCAGTTTAGAGAGAACAAGCTCTTTTTCTTGATGCTACATGTACCAACCGTTATGAGATTGACCACAGACCAATCATGGGTTCTGACTAATTCCTAGGAAACCACACAAATCATGATTTTTCTACTTAAAAAAAAAAAAAAAAAAAAAAAAAAACTTTGGTGGCAAAGGTTTACACTGAGGTGAAAGGCTTACACCTGTCTATATATTCAACTTAAGCACGAGGCGGTTTATTTGGAGCGATTTTTTCTCAATCTGGTCAAAAACATTATGTCTAAATGCCATCCAATTGGCTGAAATGTATATTTTTTAACGAAGTCTAAATTTAGAACCAGTATAGCTCCAGAGACAATTTCAAAATAGCTTGCTGTCCAGTAACTTGACCAGTCTATACAACAAACTTCTTTATATGAAGAAACAATTCCAGCCTTCTGCGTGACACAAAAGCAAAGCTAAACATGTAAAAAGAAAACTTCAACAGCCTACGAGTAGATCTCAATGACTTTGGATAAAGACTGACGACAAAAACCATCAAGCAGAGTGATTGAGAGCTATGGTAAGTGGAGTCAGCTTTAACTCTTCAAATACCATGCTGTATCTGAAAACAGTGGTTAACCGGAAAAAAAAAGAATCTCCAATTTTTTTTTCTTCGCTGTTTGACCAATCTCTCTAAACCAAAAACATGGATAAACCACACGAAAAATCCTGCGGTACCCTAGATTTTGTCTTAAGCGGACTCTACTGTACTTCAAGTTAAAATTGACGAGTCTTCCTTACAACCGGTTAACACATGATGTGAAAAAGGCGGACGGAATACAGTATAGATGTTACCACGTACCTTTACCAACGCAAAGTAGGTGAAATTTCTTATTTAAATAATGCATTAAAAGCCTAAGGTAAGTTCATTTCAAATCAAACAAGGGGTCTTAAAAGAAAGTCCCCCCCCCCCCTTCCCCTCATGTATACCTTTTAGTTAAAAAACATAGGCAGGATAGAATCACATTAACGCAGTCTGACAAAAACCCTTCAACTTTATGTCATCATTTTATCTTCCCTATTTCCCCCTTTTTTTCCCCCAACACTATATTCCTGACATGAAATAAAATTGGCTCAAAACGACAGCACGGGCAATACAATATCACCAGAGTGCATGGACTAGACATTTATGTTGCAACAGAAGTGAAGGAAAAAATCTCAGGATTCTTCTCTTGACATTTAAAAGCTTTACTGTCACATGAGATCAATAATATGATCACTGGCCTGCTGGAAAAAGAAAACTGAAGTGCAATATGATTACAATCTCTGGTAACCAAAAAAAAACCTTTTTGCACCACATACGACAGACAGACACCCCATAACTTCTGAGTGACCATAACTCTGACACTGGTCACAATGTCTTTTCTTCTTTTTGTTTCTCCCAGCCTGACTCGGCCCAGTGACAGAAATATGCAATGTTTGACCTATGATAAGAGATATGTGCACAACCTGTACTTATTCATTATGGAAACTTTACTTATCCAATGAGTGTTTTATGTATTGTGATGTGGGCCAATGGCCTTAAACACTGAATAAACTTACTAATTTACTTACCTCTTTTTGTTTCTCTTACCCGAATGGAGGGAATTGTATTCAAATCTACTTTTTACTTCACCCAAATATTATGTGTGTGTGTGTGTGTGTGTGTGTGCGTGTGTGTGTGTGTGTGTGTGTGTGTGTGTGTGTGTGTGTGTGTGTGTGTGACCAAAATAGAGGGAATTGTACTCAAATCTACTTTTTACTTCACCCAAATGTGTGTGTGTGTGTGTGTGTGTGTATGTGTGTGTGTATGTGTGTGTGTATGTGTGTGTGTATGTGTGTGTGTGTGTATGTGTGTGTGTGACCAGAGTGGAGGGAATTGTATTCAAATCTACTTATTACTTCACCTAAATATTATATGTGTGAGTGTGTGTGTGCATCATGTATGGACATGTGTTTTATAACACCATAATCTATAGACCTACTATTTACAAAGACAAGCTACACATATTTAATGACTACAGTTGCTGTTTCCAGTAGCGGACAGAAGACAAAAGGCTGAAAGTTGATAAGTAATTTCTCTTGGAAAAGGCAAGAAGTATTTTCTTTACACGTGGGAAGACAAACACTCATCACAGCAGTACAGCAGTTGTGGTGTTGTTACAAACTTAACATGACTCATGTGGCAACTAAAAAAAAAAGTTCACGCCTTGTGAATATTATTGTAATATAGATCTAATCTAGATCTATGTTAATATCTTTTTACGCGACAAACTCAGTAGGCCTATAAAGTTGCACCCTTTTACTCTTCGAATCGAATAGTAGATCTACTCGAATACCAGTCATTTTTTCTACACACGATCATTTCGTCACACCGGTGCAGTCAAGATGTCACCGTCAGTCATCTCGCCACACCACAAATCTACAAGGTTGAATGGAGACGGTAATTTCGTAGCACACTTGCAAACATCAAACGCGCATTGGCAATCATGGCAAGCGCAAATCACGATTTTTAAGGGGAGGGTTGGGGTTGTGTGTGAAGAGGGGAGAGGGGGGGTGCGAGTCATCGTGCCTATCTGATATCAGCTACATCGTTCATAAATATGTATTGACAATTTTGAAATCTATCGAATTAGATCAACGAAATTTTTAGGTAGATCTATTATTATTGATAAAAGGTGTGATTGGCAAGATCATATTATTAGTTCTGTTAGAAATAAATTAGCTAATTATAGAAAGGAACGGTACTGCAATTTTGTTAAAAGCCTAAAAGCTAGACCCTTACTTTCAAACAAAGCCTCATTAACTCTTTACCAGACATTGTCTTGCCTTATTTAAACTGTTGTTCAACTATGGAACAGTTTGGACGAAAATTTAATTTACATTAGATTTAATAATTCATATAACTTCAAAAAAAGCTTTAGAAGGCAGATCCTCCAAAACTCTATCTAGCATAACAATTTTGGAGAGATATAATATAGATTATACATAGATCTAGACTATCTATAAATAAGCGAAGTCATTTCGCCACACATAATTGGGGTGTGACCAGATGACCGTGTATGACGAAATGACCGGTTACCTACTCTACTACTCTTTCTGTTATAATAACAATAACTAGACTCTAAACTATTAGCCTACTAGATTAGTTAAACTATTATTCAGCGATTCAATATAATTCAGTGGTAGTCACTCTGCATGTAGCAGGTGGGCCAAACACCACTCATCACTAGAGTTTCTAGTCATCACTGTCACTGGGGGTAGGCCTAGTGAGCCATTATAGTTGAATTCACCGTCATAGGCCTAGTAATAACGTTCAAACTTAGGAAGCGTGTGTTTTCCAATCAATGTGTTAGAACTTAGTGGCCGGGAAGCACATGTAGATTTTAGAGAAACAAACTCAAAGAGGCCTTGATCTAATACTAGATCTAGATCTAAATCTAATAGGCCTAGACCTTGACTCTAGATCTAGATCTACTTCTATATGTAGTAGGCCTAATAGCAATGATGTCATGATCAACGAGAGATGACATGGTTGTTTATGTTGAGTTGAATTAGACTAGACAGCGTGGCTATGTCAGCGTCTATGTGGCGAGAAAAAGGGGGGGGGGGGGGGGGGACAACCAAGAGGGGTGACAAAAAAAACAACCTCGGGAGTTTAGGAGGCTATAGAATCTAGACTAGATCTAGTAAGATAGGCTATAGATTCTAGATATCTAGTCTAGATCTATTCTCTGAGCTCTCAGTCAGTAGATCTAGGTATTATTACACATGACAGGGGCCTAGGCTAGGCCTACATGTAGCCTCCTAACGTGAGAATGTCGACTGGGATAACTACTCGGCATGACCGGGATGGAAAACGGGGTCGGTAGATCTACTCGCGTGGACTGTAGTCGCCTAGATCTTTTGGGGGCCACATGGTCCTCAGCTTTAGCAGCCTAAAGTTACACCTAAGCTAGGAAATCATGTCTGTCGACATAAGGCACAAGGATTACGTTAGGTTAACTGATTAGGCATCATTAGGTTGGCCTCTAGATTCTAGGTACCGATTCTAGATCCCGATTAGATTAATCTAGATCGGCACGCCTCTAGATCTAGATCTAGATCTAGATTAGATCTCTACTAGATCTATCTTTATCTATTTAACCAACAATACACCGTTTCATAAAAAAAATAAAGAACGTCAAATTTCTAAACTAGAGTCTACTGTGACTTGATGCCAACCAGCCTAAATTCAAATCCAAAAGAGTAGGCCTAGCCTAACCCAAGGCGCGGCCAAGGAGTAGATCTAGGTCTACTGGCCTAACCTAACTGAACGAGAATCTATATCAAGACCTTTAGGACTTGGAGCCATTCTCCCATTAAAAGTACAAATAACTAATCTAGATTCTAGACCTAGGGGACAAATTCATGCGTGCCCTTCCAATCCCTGTGGCTGTGGACACTTCCATGTACAGCAAAGACTAACGGTCTAACAACGTGAGTAGCGCTGGCTCTCTCTCTGCTAAAGCCAGCAGAGCCACTGATCGTGGGCCCAGGGCCCAGCCTACCCTTCGTTGTTGGCCTGACGCTATCAAGATCTATTTTTAACTTACCGGATGTCGATTAGGATACATGTTGAACTCTTTATAATCCAAATGGTAAAACGAAGAAAATCGACTGGACTGGCAATGTTTCAAGTTCAGTCAAACGCGTCGTAAATCCACCTCTTGGTAGGGAAAATTCTCGTTGATCAGCGATTGAAACACAAAGCGAATCTCCTAGATTGCCTTCCCATCGTCCCTGAAGAAAATCCGCCCTTCGGAACACGAAGAATCCCGCCAAGACCAGGAGCCACAGTGGCCGGCGATACACAGGGTAGCCTATGACTCACAAGAACATAATCCACACAACTTATCCAAAGCAGAAAGGGTACATCCAGAAATAAAGCAAGAAATGCGTTATATTCCACGAACTTTTCACAAATGCAGATATCCTTGCATGAATATGACCAGGCACGTTATAAAAGTGAAGAAGAAAGAACACAGTTAGCGAGAACACTGTCGCTCCCCCACACACTGTAGAGGGGCACAACACGGCGGCGGCACACAACGCATTACTACCGAGAACAATGGCGAGGGCAAACCAACTCGCTCTCCCTACCTTCACGCTGATTGGCTACTTTCCCCTGTCATGATGGTGCAAACGTCCCACGTGGGCTTATTAAATATGTGCGGATTCTAGCCAATGGCTGAAGGGATAGCATGGGAAAGCGTGAAATTTCGCTCCTTGGACCTGTAAGCGTGGCCAAGACGAGTGTAGACTCCTCCCACAGCATATTGTAAACAGACTCGATCGATTTTCCACCACGTGGAAAGACTCTTTGCAGATTTTCGTTATGTCTGTCAATCACAAACGGGAATTGTTTTGTATTCTCAAGATAAAACCTTCAAATAGTACTCATATACACTAAGGGAAACGCAATTAACGGTTTAGATAATAGACGATAGGAGAAGCTATCGCATATTATAAGCTGTGAACTCAGCGCAATTGAAATCCCAAAAACGTTTATTTGAGTTGGCATGCACTTAAAAAAAAAAAAGAAATGAAAAGAAAAGAGAACAGACATCGGCGAAAGGGGTGTGGTAGGGAGTAAGGTTGGGGGGGGGGTGTTGATCTCCAGCTTTGTTTACATTTGATTGCCGTCTTGTGTTTGTAATGAATCTTTTGCTAGTTTTAGTCATTACTGCCATTGGTCCAGGCATGAACATATTAAGATTAGCCAACGTGAGAATGGATTCCTGTGAAACTGTGCACGTTGTTTGCTCCTGTCTCATTGACAAGGTAGCAGAATAATATACAAAGGAATATTATGAGGTTTTACAATTATTATATTCTGCGAACAGGTTGTGTTGCCAATCTGCTGAAGCGAAATAATGTTCGTTCTCCCCGCACCTTCTAGTGTTCTTTCTTTGGTTCGCGGGTGTAGATTCTAGCAGGGTGAACTCTGCCGCCGTGTTGTATCAACCGCTAGATCTGCTTTTATGAAAGAATGTTATATCAGTCCTTTGGGGTGAGTTAAAAGCACGTTGATATCGGAATCCTAACGCAAGCGTCGGGGAGGGGTGGGGGC